TCAGGAACCAGCACGGGGAGGTGGTGTTCCGGCTGGCCTTCCGCTCGGGCAGCCTGGACCTGGAGTCGTGCTCCAAGGAGGGCGAGATCCTGAGCTGCACGCGGTCCAGCCGGGGGCCGCTCAACTTCTTCATCCAGACGGTGAAGCCCAAGGACACGGTGATGTGCTACCGCGTGCGCTGGGAGGAGCTGGCGGCCGGCCCGGCGGTGGAGCACACCATGTTCTGGGAGGACGCCCACTGGTACGGGGGCTCGGAGATGAGCACCCAGCACTGGCCCATCCGCCTGGCCGGCTACCAGGAGCCCGTGCCCTACGTGACCAGCGACGTCTACTCCTTCCGCGACAGCTTCGGCGGCATCCTGGAGCGCTACTGGCTCTCCTCCAAGGCGGCGGCCATCAAGATCAACGACTCCGTGCCCTTCCACCTGGGCTTCAACGCCACCCAGCGCGCCCTCTTCTTCCAGGCCCGCTACAAGGACTCTCCCTACAAGCCCCCGCCGGGGCAGCCGCCCTTCCCCGAGCTCAGCTACCGCGTCTGCCTGGGCTCCGACGTCACCTCCATCCACAAGTACATGGTGCGCAGGTACTTCAACAAGCCCTCCAAGATCCCCGCCGAGAATGCCTTCCGATACCCCATCTGGTCCACCTGGGCACTCTACAAGAAAGATATAAACCAGGATAAAATTCTGCAGTTTGCGAGAAACATTAAGAAGTACCGTTTTAATTGCAGCCACATAGAGATTGATGACATGTACACCCAAGCCTATGGGGACTTTGACTTTGACCCTGTCAAGTTCCCCAATGTGACAGAGATGTTTGCAAAACTGAGGGAAGATGGCTTCAAGGTCACTCTGTGGACTCACCCTTTCATAAACTACAATTCCTCCAATTTTGGTGTGGGGATTGAGCGTCAGCTGTTCATCAAGGAGCCGTCGGGGCGGCTGCCGGCCATGGTGGAGTGGTGGAACGGCATTGGGGCCATCCTGGACTTCACCAACCCAGCAGCCCGGGACTGGTTCCAGAGCCACCTGCGCCAGCTCCGGCACAAGTACGGCATCTCGTCCTTCAAGTTTGATGCGGGCGAGACCAGCTACCTGCCCAAGCAGTTCAGCACCTTCCGCCCGCTCTCGGACCCCAGCATCTGGTCCCGGCGCTACACGGAGATGGCCATCCCCTTCTACGAGCTGGCCGAGGTGCGGGTGGGCTACCAATCCCAGAACATCTCCTGCTTCTTCCGCATCATCGACCGCGACTCCGTCTGGGGCTACGAGCTCGGCCTCAAGTCCCTCATCCCCACAGTGCTCACCATCAGCATGCTGGGGTACCCCTTCATATCTGCTGACATGATCGGAGGGAATTTTTTCCCCAATAAGACAAATGGGGCGGTGGAGATCCCCGACCGGGAGCTGTATGTGCGGTGGCTGGAGCTGTCAGCCTTCATGCCCTCCATGCAGTTCTCCATCCCGCCCTGGCTCTACGACAAGGAGGTGGTGGAGATCGCCCAGAAGTTCACAGAGCTCCACGAGTCGCTGGTGGCCCCGCTGCTGCTGGAGCTGGCCGGGGAGGTCACCGACACGGGCGACCCCATCATCCGGCCCATCTGGTGGATCTCGCCCCGCGACAAGGCCACTCACAGGATCGACTCCCAGTTCCTCATCGGGGACACCCTCATGGTGGCCCCTGTCCTAGAGATGGGCAAGCAGGAGCGGGATGTCTACCTGCCGGCGGGCAAGTGGCGCAGCTACAAGGGGGAGCTGTTTGAGAAGACGCCAGTGCTGCTCACCGACTATCCCGTTGACCTGGATGAAGTTGCCTATTTCCTCTGGGTGTCCTAACAGGCTTCTTCTCCAGCTTTGGAATAACCATGCCTTACCTAGGACTTTCTAACAGATAATAATTCTAATTGCACATTTCATTTGTGACTGGGTTGGAGGAAGGGAATTAAATAGACTTCACTGTTCTTGGGGATAATTTTTTTTTACTTGGGGATTGATCTTGTTTTTTTTAATTTGGGTCAGGTGGGAAACTCTGATTGAATAATGGTAGGCAGCAATTTCTCTGTATAGGTCAGTAAGAAATTGACATTCTGTCTGCAGACACTTAGTAAACCCAATACTTTGTCAGTTCCCAAGGATTTCAAGACATGGAAGTTGGTTAGTGCCAGTGGGAGCTTTTCTAGTTCTGTGGGAGCACCCAGCTCTGGGTATGAGGGTGTGTGATGTTGGGAGGGTTTCTGCAGCACAGGCAAATATATTGAAAAGGATATTTTTAAAAGCAGAAAGCAAAATATAGATATGTATATATACACATATTTTTTTACCCCTTATGTCTAACGTGGCACCAGACTAACAGTTGCCCCATTCTCCTGCTTTCCTGGCTACCAGGCAGGCCAGGTTACTCGAGTGGTGTTGATGTGTTTTAATTTTATGGGCTGCTTATTGCCTGCTGGGACAGCTGCATCCCACCTCCTCGCCCATTTGACACCCTGTACAAGGCTCTTACCTTTGTATTTTGCCCTGGGCATCAACACTGCCTTTCCTAGAACGGCGCTGCCCTTACCAGCACGTCCCATTAGTCCTTTTTAAACATTTATGCACCCGCTTTGTTACATGATTATCCTGCTGATACCATCCTTTTTTTGGTTTTTAAGGACAGATGAGGTTTGTTGCCGGCAGAAGGACTGCCTGGAGCAAAGCCGCTCTCACAAGCACTGAGTGTGGCGCGTCCCCGGGAACAGGCGGTTCCCGCGAGCAGCACGTGTCTGGGATTGGCGGGGAGGTTTGCTGCTAGCCGGCTTGCCCGTGGGTGGAAAACACCGGCTTTCTGGACCGATGGGTCTGTGCCAGCGGGTGTTCTCACCGCGCCCACGGAAACGTTGTCATCCGAGGCAAAATTAAACCAACACCCGCCTCAGGTCGCGTTTAGGGGCGATGATTTTGGTGAGGGTTTTTCTGAGTCAGCCTCCTCTCTCTCTCTGGGAGAGTCCTAAGGATCCTAAGGATCTTCCTCAGGCAGCTGGAGGTGGGATTGCTATCAGAGGCTTCCAGAGGGGACACGGGGTGATGTGATCCTGCACCCCAAATCCCCTGCAGCTGCAGAGATGACTCTTTCACAGATTCTCCACTTGGTTTTATATGGAAAGATGCATTTACAGAGACTCAAGACAGAGCAAGCAGGATTGAAGTCTGGCATCCTTCCTCCCTAAGGCAGGACATTCCCGGCTGTGCTCTGGTTTGGGAATGGGTGTTAGCCCCTGAATTTTTAATGACCTTCTGCGGAATTGAACTGCAATGACTGGGGAGGGTTGGGACACCAGCCAAGGACAGCTCACAGCATCCTCAGGGCTTCTCCTGGGATTGTGTCTGAGCATGGGTCTGGCATGAGTCTGCCACTGAGGGAGATGGTTCATGTTTTGATTAGGGTTGGGTACCAGTGAGGGTCTTTCCCAAAGTCCAGTTCCTACCACTGGGCTTTGCAGGAGGCAGAGAAGGAGATGCACTAAACTTGATGTTTGTGGTGGGATCCAGGAGGAGAAATTTAGGTGTTAGGGGCAAAATCTGAATCTACTTTTATAGTTAGGAAAGAAGTGAGAAAGTCTGGTTTGAGGGACTCTTTGGAATATCTCTTAAGATCTGAGTCTGCCCTGCATAATTCGGCGTTCCGGCCTCAAGATGTAAGGGGAGCTTTATAGGTCCTCGCCCAACTGGAGCACAAGTATGTTCCAAAGCTCGTTTCTCAGGCTTCTAATTCTAAAGCACTCGAGCTTGTTCCTCACCACCAGTGCAAATAGTGATTATGGCACCAGTTATAGGTTCCTTCTGGCAAGGAGTTAATCCTGGAATCTCAAAGTTGTTCGTCAGGGCACTAGCAGGACTTGGGCCTTGTTTGGAGGGTGGAGGTGAAGGCAAGGATCTCCTGGAGGTGAGTCTGGCCAAAGCCTGCAAGGAGGACTGGGTGTGGAGAGACCTCCAGAAGTTCTTAAAGGTCATGGTTTGGGAGGCTCCAGCTCTTCCCTTTCAGCCTTTGCTCATGAAATACTTGTCAGCCCTTGGTATGGGAGTCATTAGGTGGAGGAGATGTTGCTGCACAGCTCAGCTGCCAATGCAGAAGTGGGATCCTTGACATAGGACTTCATGGGAAGGATCTCAGGAGATATTGCATATCTTCTCTTCCCCTGTTTCTGTGCCACTCACCACATCCCTCACTAGTAAGGGACTGTGTGAAGAGAAACACAGTGTTCCTCTTAGCATCCCTCTACTATTAAAATGATGGGAGCAGCCAGATGAGTGCCTTCAATCTCCTCTCAGTGGTTTCGGGCACTGTCAGGGAGGTCATGGAGGAAATTCTCCATTAGACACACTGTCTTCTTTCCCCTCCCCTCGAAAGAAAGGCTTTTATTAACAAAGTTTTAATTTCCTTTTTATTTAACTATATCATAAATGGGTAATAATATACAGTACCCTTATTTTTCTAAATGCTGCATGGCTATTCAGTACTCCAGCAAGGAGAAGGGTAAAGCTGCTGAGAGGATGTAAAGGGTGGTGTTGGGTATAGACTCAGCAGTGCAGCCTTCAGGTGTCTCACAGGCTTCTAGGTGCCCTTTCCATCCAGCTTTTTACCAAAACCACTATATCTAACATTATGCTGTAGCACTGCAGGACTTGAGGATCTCTCGGACCTTGCAGACCACAAGCTCTGCCCAGACACCTTGAGAATTGCTGCTAGGGGGACTTCTCTGATTTACACCATGAGTCACTGACCAAAGCAGGATTTAGCTTTGTCTCAGCCAAGGAAAAGTCCCAAAACAGTTTTGGGAGTTGGATTCGCCTTTCCACATGTGATGCTCATGTGATGGAATTCTGAAGCTTGCACTGTTGTGTATCGGGTTTTCCTGGGTGCTTGTGTTTGCACATGCTGTCCTACGTCAGACTGTAATGCTGGTGGGTCTGTTTTTAACCACTTTTCTAATTCTTAATTGTTATGAACTGTAACATGAATCACCTTGATTGAGATAAAATTTTGGAAAACAAAAAGAAGTTTAACTATTTTTATCTTTACCAGGTTGGTTCAGCTGGTGGTTCAGGGGTATTTGGGGCTTTTTTTTACCCTCATCTTCCCTGAAATCAGGGTTGAGATTTTTTTGGTTTAATTAAAGCTGGCAGCCTGCAGCTTTGGTATATGATCTAAAAGGAGGAGCTGGCAGTCATCCCACTGTTGTGTTTGCAGTGGTGGCAGATGATCCCACTGGATCAAGAAGTGTCCTGCCTTAGGTCCTGGCATCAAGGAAAATAGCTGTGCCTTAGGGATGGCCTGAAAAAGACCATATCCAGGCAAACCCCAATACTGTATCAACCCCAGGGGTGGGGGCCATACTGCCATGCCCCTGATTTTACTGATATCCACCCAAAAAGGGCTCATCAACCCTGACTCTGGGGGGGTTTGCTAGTCCACACTGTTCTCAGAGGACACATACTTTGGGACTGTTTGCAGGAAATGAAGAAGAGGAGCCTGCACTCTGTTTCCCTTGAGCACCCCAGAAGGTCCTTCTGGGCCCTGGCTGTCCCCACTGTCCCCAGGGGTCCCCTTTTCCAGATGGCACTGACAGCAAGGATGAGGATGGAGTAGATATTTGTGGCTATGAGAGTGCCAGGAATGGAGCATGTGAAGCTCATTTAGGAGCCTGCTTTGCCCCACACCACTCCCTTTGCCCCACATAATGTTTTTCCTTCCCTTTCCATTGTTACTGCACAAAGTATAGCTGCCTTGTTCCATCAGGCATCAGTAGCCCTGGCCAACACATTCAGCACGGCTTGAGGAATGAGAGGAACTTCACTCCTTTTGCAATAAAAAACATTTTCCCAGTGTTGTTCCTTTGACTTCTTCCTTGGATGTGAGTGTTATCCGCACACTTGGCTGATGATTACATGGAGAGTGAAGCTGGCCCTGCTGAAGACCTTGGCAAGTTGCAGCACTCAAAGCCTTGCAGCAGATCCTCAATAATGCAGAGGTCCTCCTTGGAATCAGTGCTTTAGGTCTGGGTTTGGTTTGCATCCTCCCAAAAGCTGGTGCTGTGTGTAGGGAGGGTGTCAGGGATGTGGGAATAGCGAGTGGGGGCAGCTCTGTGCTGTATCCCAGCTAAGTGGCAGTGCTTGAAAACACATCCACAGCTGTGTATTGCACAGGTGGGAGTGCTTATGGCAAAGTCCCAACCCCACTGGGGCTGCAGCAGAAGCCCAGAATAACTGGATTTCAAGGAGGTGCCTGTGGGTGACAGCAGAGGAGTGGGTGCTGACTCGTGAGAGTGAGCATGTCCACATTGGTCAACATAACAGCTTTTAATAAAAGGTAAGAAAAAAACAACAGGCAGGCAGACCCCAGGGCCAGGGAGGACCATGGTAAAAGGACAGACTGACAGCAGCAGAGACCTTCAGGGCATGTGGCCAGGCTGGCAGCTCAGGAAAAAAAACACCTCCTCAATCTCAACTCGTCCGGAGCCCAGTGGGAGCTGCCAGCCTGTAGATGCCTTGTGCCAGGAGAGCCATGAGAGATGGTCTGGGCTGAGGCAAAATCCCAGAGGCCAAGTAGAGAAAACCAGAGATTTTTATTTATTTTATTATTTTTCCAGGAGGGCTCGGTGGTTTTTATCTCAGTGATCATCAGAGATCAAGAGCAATAACCTGCCCCTGCCAAAAAATTAGCAAACTGGGGTGAGCTGTGTGCTGGGGCAGAGTCACATTGTCACCAGCACCTCCAGCAAAGAGCTCTTGCTCAGCACTGGGAGTGCAAAAAAACAATCGGGACTGAAGCTTAGCAAGGCAAACAAGATGTTCCTCTGTCAGCACACAGTCCTGGTGCTGCAGGAGGGCGTGGAGAAGTGGCTGTGGTGCCAGCTGCTCGCAGGATGCTTCCAGCACCCATCCCCCATGGCTCCCTGTGACTTGGCTGGGCGGCAGGGAAAGGCACTGGGGGAAAGATTGGAAAGGGATGGGGGAGGCATTTTTGCAGCCATAGTAGCAGGCATCTCATGTCACCCCCAGAGTTTGCAAAAAGTCTCAGTGATCCCTATTTTTTTCCACCCAGTCTGTGATGTGATGCAGGTGGGTGGCAGAGCTGTGTGTGCATACAGAACACACTGATTACACAGGCAGAGGTGCCATATGAGGGGGCTGGAGTCTGGCTCTCCCGCCTCTCCTCAGCATTGAGGGCAACAGCTTTGCAGAAAGCTTTTTTTTTTGGTGCAGCAACAACAGCCAGAGGAATTTTGCTGGACCCCTCTAGGACCCTTTGGTTCCCCCAAGCTCATATGTCAGGGACCCCTTGGGGCTTCAAAGCAGCAACAGAGAAGCATTCAGAAACATTTTCTCAACCTCGGGGGAGCTGCATCCTTGGAAACTACTATCCTGGATTAGAAGAAAGCCCATGGTAAGGATTTAGAGATATCCTGTTAACCCTGAACACAACTGGCAGACTGAGCATTGCCTTCCCTTTCACATCCTTTTCACATTACTGCAGCTTGAGCTGCTTTCAGGGGCATCTAGATGTTCTGGCTCACCCAACTTGGCGTTGCTGTTGTGCCACTGTGCCCATGCAGAGTCCCCTCGGTACAAAAGAAGTAACAGGAGTCTGAGCGGGTTTTGGGGCTGCTTCACCTGGACACCAAACTAAGTCTGGAAGGAGTGTGATGTTCTCTATCCTCTGTTTACCTTTTGTACAGATCAGCACTTGGAAAAACCCCTAAAGAAGGGAGCTCTCTTATGCGTTGGGGCCACACAAAAGCTTTACCTCTCAGGCAGTGTGCCAGGGTCAGCAAGATCTGTCTCTCATTTTGGGAAGGCACATTGCAGCCCAGAGACTCCTGGACTCTCCTAAACTGCTCAGACATGTCACCCTTAAACTTCTGTTTGCTTAAAAACAGCAGGGAAGGTTGGACCAAGAGTGGAGAGCATTTCACAGACAGCCTGCCTACCACAAGCCGTCAGGAGCTGCTGACACACCTTCACTCAGGAGAATTCACCTGTACGGGCAGGGTACTGGCTCATGGACAGAGATGTCCATTAGCCCAAGATGGGAGAACATTTTCAATGGGGAAACTGAGGCAGGAGGGCACTCAGGCTGGTTTGTTGTCTGAACTCTCTGAGGAGGCCAAGTTCTCCCTTGGGACCTGACAGGTTGTGCACCCCTTGGCTCTAAACACGGTCCCAAAACACACATGTATCCTATCAAATCTAAACCCTGACGTGGTACTATGTTTTAGTCTTTACTGCCATGAGGGAGCCCCTGGTGGTCTACTGGTTAAGGACACGGCGCTGTCACCGCCGAGGCCCAGGTTCGATTCCCAGTTAGGACACTCCCTGGGCAGATGGAGCTCGTTAGCCCTGTAAGGCAATCCATCTACGTCCTGAGGACTTCACTGCCACCGTCCAAGCTCGCTTGGCCCCGGCAGATGAACCTCAGGATTAAAGGGTGGGCTCAGTTCCGCGCACACTGTGTCTCACCTAAAAAATCCAGTGCGCAGGCTGGAAGGCGAAAAGACCTTCCCCGGTTCTTCGTTTACGAAGACTGGCCATTACATTACTACCATGAGATTTCACCACATTTTACAGGCTTACCTGAATTCACACCATCGACATGATTCTCAATGGGTAAAACAGTTGCCACAGCATTAGCCATTGCCGTGGCTTTATTCTCCTTGCTCAGATAGCTCAGCCCATGTGACAGTGTAAACTCCTCTTCACTCCTGCATCAGCTCCCATCTGTTGTGCAAGCTGCAGTTTGGGTGCCTTCCTCTCCAGGATAACCACAGACTGCTTTTTGTAAAAAAAAAAAAAAGTAATTTGCTGCAGCTGCCTCCTTCACTAAGCACATGAAATTTTAAATACCTCAGGGGATCACCTGTGAAACTGGGTAACAAAGGAGTCCATGTAATTTCCTTTATAAACAAGAAACGTGCATGGCATTTCTTGGTGGGAAAAGATTATGAGCAGAGACTGTGTTTCTGTACATTGCACTTGTCACACTGCAATAACAAAGACACCCATCCAACAAATATTAATTAGTTATTGAGCACCACTTGCCACAAAAAACAGAAGTCTCAGTGTTATCTTCAAATTTCATAAGGAAGTACTTCTACATAAAAAAATATACAAAGTCCCAGGTCATTAAAGCTGTTGGTTAATCAATCACTGAGTCCATTGCACACTGATGAGGACCATGTTAGGATACCCAGAGGAAATAGGCAACTTCATCCAGGTCAACGGGATAGTCAGTGAGCAGCACTGGCGTCTTCTCAAACAGCTCCCCCTTGTAGCTGCGCCACTTGCCCGCCGGCAGGTAGACATCCCGCTCCTGCTTGCCCATCTCTAGGACAGGGGCCACCATGAGGGTGTCCCCGATGAGGAACTGGGAGTCGATCCTGTGAGTGGCCTTGTCGCGAGGCGAGATCCACCAGATGGGCCGGATGATGGGGTCGCCTGTGTCGGTGACCTCCCCGGCCAGCTCCAGCAGCAGCGGGGCCACCAGCGACTCGTGGAGCTCCGTGAACTTCTGGGCGATCTCCACCACCTCCTTGTCGTAGAGCCAGGGCGGGATGGAGAACTGCATGGAGGGCATGAAGGCCGACAGCTCCAGCCACCGCACGTACAGCTCCCGGTCGGGGATCTCCTCTGCCCCCTCTGTCTTGTTGGGGAGGAAGTTCCCTCCAATCATATCTGGCAGTACAAATGGGTACCCCAGCATGCTGATGGTGAGCACTGTGGGGATGAGGGACTTGAGGCCGAGCTCGTAGCCCCAGACGGAGTCGCGGTCGATGATGCGGAAGAAGCAGGAGATGTTCTGGGATTGGTAGCCCACCCGCACCTCGGCCAGCTCGTAGAAGGGGATGGCCATCTCCGTGTAGCGCCGGGACCAGATGCTGGGGTCCGAGAGCGGGCGGAAGGTGCTGAACTGCTTGGGCAGGTAGCTGGTCTCGCCCGCATCAAACTTGAAGGACGAGATGCCGTACTTGTGCCGGAGCTGGCGCAGGTGGCTCTGGAACCAGTCCCGGGCTGCTGGGTTGGTGAAGTCCAGGATGGCCCCAATGCCGTTCCACCACTCCACCATGGCCGGCAGCCGCCCCGACGGCTCCTTGATGAACAGCTGACGCTCAATCCCCACACCAAAATTGGAGGAATTGTAGTTTATGAAAGGGTGAGTCCACAGAGTGACCTTGAAGCCATCTTCCCTCAGTTTTGCAAACATCTCTGTCACATTGGGGAACTTGACAGGGTCAAAGTCAAAGTCCCCATAGGCTTGGGTGTACATGTCATCAATCTCTATGTGGCTGCAATTAAAACGGTACTTCTTAATGTTTCTCGCAAACTGCAGAATTTTATCCTGGTTTATATCTTTCTTGTAGAGTGCCCAGGTGGACCAGATGGGGTATCGGAAGGCATTCTCGGCGGGGATCTTGGAGGGCTTGTTGAAGTACCTGCGCACCATGTACTTGTGGATGGAGGTGACGTCGGAGCCCAGGCAGACGCGGTAGCTGAGCTCGGGGAAGGGCGGCTGCCCCGGCGGGGGCTTGTAGGGAGAGTCCTTGTAGCGGGCCTGGAAGAAGAGGGCGCGCTGGGTGGCGTTGAAGCCCAGGTGGAAGGGCACGGAGTCGTTGATCTTGATGGCCGCCGCCTTGGAGGAGAGCCAGTAGCGCTCCAGGATGCCGCCGAAGCTGTCGCGGAAGGAGTAGACGTCGCTGGTCACGTAGGGCACGGGCTCCTGGTAGCCGGCCAGGCGGATGGGCCAGTGCTGGGTGCTCATCTCCGAGCCCCCGTACCAGTGGGCGTCCTCCCAGAACATGGTGTGCTCCACCGCCGGGCCGGCCGCCAGCTCCTCCCAGCGCACGCGGTAGCACATCACCGTGTCCTTGGGCTTCACCGTCTGGATGAAGAAGTTGAGCGGCCCCCGGCTGGACCGCGTGCAGCTCAGGATCTCGCCCTCCTTGGAGCACGACTCCAGGTCCAGGCTGCCCGAGCGGAAGGCCAGCCGGAACACCACCTCCCCGTGCTGGTTCCTGA